ACATTAAATACATTTATATATATATATATATATTAATTATGTGAGTATATATATATATAAAAATAAAATCATGTATATGTAAATATAAATAAATATATATATATATATATATATTCCTGTATATGTGTGTTTATATATATATATTCATGTATATATATATATATATTCATGTATATATATATTATATATATTCATGTATATATATATATTTATGTATATATTCATGCATATATATATATATACAGAGTTAAGTGATGCACCCCCAAGGCCTCTGGCTACCTTGTACCAGATCATGTGGCGGTGGCGAGGCGCAGAGGAGCAGGCGGGAGCAGGCGCCGTTTTGAAAAACCAAGCCGCGCCACACATTGGTGGCTTAACATCATTTATTGGTATTATCAATGGTATTAACACCAATCATCAAATGTGATTGACACCAATTATTTGTATTAATTCTCGATGGTTTTACCACACACTGAAAATAATTGGTGTTAATAACATTTGACGGCTTGCTCAAAAGCCCCGATGGCATAACTGATCATAGCTGTCAAGTTGCTTGTGAAGAACAATGGATGTCATGGACTCAAATCTGGTTTTGGTACGTTTTGCCTTTGATGGTGCTTTATTAGAACAAACCCAGCCGGTCCAACCGAAAGTCACGCGCAAAAAAGTCTTGGGTGACGATTGCGCAAGACTGACCAAACAGGGTCAAAACCCATGGGTTTCCCATGGTTCCTTTTTACAAGCTTCGGTATGTGGATATGCTGCAAAATCATGTAGATCCAGCTCCGTTTTGATTGGCCACCCTCTGTATGTGTGAAATCAACCCATCAAATCCTCAGAACCTTTCCTCAAATTCCATAAATCGTCGGCTTTATGGCTGGATTGGCAAATGTTCGCCGCTATCCTCAGAGTTTTGCTGACTTTCCTGGCGCATGTTTGCAAAAAAACACCAGATTCATGTGTTCCCCAAAATGCTAGTTGACTTACCCTCTGGTAATTTAACGTAGCTATTGAAAATGACCATTTATAGTGGATTTACCCATTAAAAATGGTGATTTTCCATAGCTATGTTAAATTACCAGAGGGTATTATGTGAAATTCATAGGTTCCATTTTGCTCCACTTGCCTAACATTTTCCCAAAGGAAACTCAGTCTCCAGCAGATGGCCAGTGCCAGGATGGTCTTGCGAGAGCCATGCAACGGTGGCCGGCCTTGTGCTGAGAGCTTCTCACGCCAGGTTAGGAAGGGAAAGATGTAAAGTTGGGGGCAAACATATATAATTTAACCCCATTATTAAAGATATATAATTCTACCTATTTATACATGATTCTCCCAGTTATCACCGTATAATCACCCATCTAAAAATGGGGTATATAATGTTTCTATACTATCATCTCCTATGATTAGACATTTATGAAGAGGTGGCATGGGGATATCATGGTTGATAATGGGGGAATAGTGGTCAAGAGTGGTTAATAGTGGTTAATGATAATTGGGTAAATTATAACTGCGCCGTAGCCAAACTTTTCAGGTTAGTGAATTATTAAAATTAATCCAGCCATATTTATAGATTAATTTTCCCAGTAAACAAATTTTAGAACATTCATTTAGTTGGATAATTTCTCAGCCAGACATGTTTTGAGAACTGGATATGGTAAAAGTCGGTTAAAGATGTGTTGAGCATTTGTAGTTTTTGATATCTGATATATGCGCTTCTTGAGGCAGATAATTGCAATGATTGAATTGGCTGCTTTTGCACATCGCAAGTTTGATTGGTTCGAATCCAAGTCTTACTGGTAAATTCCTCATTTTTCAGCGGTTCATTTCTCGTTCATTTCCCTGTGTGGCATCATCACGTCACCGTTTCTATCAACGAACTGAAAATCGAAATGACCAGTACTTAAATCCTTAGGCCTTCTGGACCCACCAGCCACCAGATTTTCGTATTGCATGTTTTCCCTCCAAAAAAAAACAAAACATACGGACAAAATCGGACAAGTCCAGCCAACTGTACAAAATGTGCAAAACATAAACTCTCTTAATGTGGCATGTACATGCATTTACCCAATGCGAGAAAAACCATCCCCTAATTTAGGACGGTTATTAGGTCATTTATGTCATTTCCAAATTTGGGTTATCGGAACATGGTTCATTCATGACACTAGGATGGTTGGAAAGAGATTTCAGTTGGGTTACCGGTGATTGGGGATCCTCTTTTTTCAGAACCCCCCAGAAAACTGTAGGTTCTTTTTGCAGTTTTTCTAGATTTTGCAGTATATCTTATTTATATAGGTTAGCCACAACTCATCGAAAACTTGGCAACCAGAGACCTGTCTGATTCTGTGCTTTCCTTGTGTCCGCTTCGGATGATCCCGGAGGCTTTCTCAGCACTGCCAGGCATAGCCGGGGAGCCGCTACGGTGATTTAACGCTGAAGCCATGGCCCAGCGATTGAAACCGATGATAAACATGATGATTTAGTAATTTCGCTAGTTAAAATGGTGATTTTCCATAGCTATGTTCAATCACCATGGGGAACCATGGGGTAGCTGAGTTTCTCTGGGTGATTTGGAAAGGGGTTTCCAGTCGTGGATGACCATGACTTCGTATTAAACACCGTGCTGACTTGGAAATCCCCCATGACTTAAGAACCCCCCCATATAGATTTATTGCAGCAAAAAGATGTATTTATAATTTAATATATAGAGATTTACGGATTCACTATTCCCTATAGGTTTGTATAGATTCACTATAGATATTATAAATTTCACAAATTTACATAGATTTATGGCAGGATTTGGAGACGTCTTGGACTCGAACTCCGATCGTGATTGCCTCCCCACAGCTCCCGGGGACCAAGCGCAGGAACCGAAGCTTGTTCCATCCCGATTTCGCCTCCCTGGAGATGAGAAACTGGACCAAGGACAGAGGCAGATGATACTCAAATAAATGATCTACATAAAAAAAATATAGTAAATAAATATCAATATAATTAAATAATATATTTTTATATATATACATATATATATATACATATATATATATACATACATATAAAAAAATATATATATATATATACATATACATATATATATATATATATGTATTCTGTATGTAATTACCACTATTCAACCCCAACGAGTTCTCATCTGTATGCTGTATTCTCCTGCGAACATCCAGTGGACAGGTGGAAATATGTTCAACTGGGATTCGTTCAGCAGACTAACTAATAGGTCTAACAGGTGAACAAAGGTGAACATTCCAAAAAAATACTAACAAAAAATACTAACTAACAGGTAAACATGCCAAAAATTAGCAATACATGGTTCTATTAGGAATGTTCATGTGCCCCGATCTTTGTGGGCGACCGGTTGTTTTGTTGGCCCCGTAAAGTTTCTGCGGCGCTGCCAGGCGCTAGAGATGCAGCTGCCGGGGTCTCTCATCACCTTTGCTGCTTGCTTTGCAGTCATGCTGCCGGTGGTGCCCCAGTGAGTTATCTAAGTTGCTTTATATCTATGGGTTAACTATGGTTTATGGATGTTTCTGGTGATTATAGCTGTCTTTAGATGGATTACTATGACATTTTTATCGCCCAGGAAGCATCACCTTGTGGTGCGATGGGCAAAGAAAAGGATGTCAGACACTGCAGCGGAGTGGGGCCCAGATGGAGGATAGGATTATAACTCACCCAGAAAGGGGATGTACGGTTTGATTCACCTAGCCGTGTTTACTAAAGAGTTACTGACCATATGATAGCCATGGCTAGGTGATGTTTGATTAGTCCATCCAAGTTTGGGCTATAATATAGCCATGTTTGATTAGCCATTTGTAACCCATGCGTAGCCATAAATGTAATACAAGTGGGCTATAATATATGATAATCACCCCCGAGTATGATGCCTGTGATGCAGCTGCTTAAGTGGTATGATCCTTTCAGCAGCCGAGGCCATTTCAGCTCCGCAGTTTCTCTTCGTAGCCCTGGGCGCGCAGCTCAGTCAAGTGGATGGTGTTGAGTAGGGCTCGAAAAAGATCAAAAAACGATTGAGGGGGCAGTTTACACTTTCTATAATTTGAAACGTGTGAGTACTGCTGATGATTACTTTATTTTCGCTGTACGGTTTAGCATCCTTGCACGGACTCGTGGCATGAAGGACTGTAAGGACCCATCACTACAGGATTGAAAGTCTACAGTGAAAACCATGTCCTCTCTTCGACGCGGTTCCATTCGCAGTTAGCCCCTAGGTTTCTTGGCACTGGTGCTACACTTCTGGCGTCGCTGTCCACCGGAGACGCATGAGGCTATAAACATAGCGGGGTTCAACATCAGTACGAAGAAATGTCAGAAGTTGACATCCACACAAAGGTGTGAACTAATCTTCTGTGTCATACACCCTCCTCCATCCTCCCCCCGAAAGAAACAAGGAAAGCAGCCTTGGCCAAAGGATGCGCCCAAAAGGATCTTAACATGCGACATCCAATGGCCTATGACATGCGAGCTATATGCCAGCACCATCAATTTGAGGTTGGAAAGTTCAATCAGCATGATCCCCCATGACATCCCATGACTATCTCCAGGCAGATGGCTGAAAAAAAACTTGGCCCCTTGAATCCCTCAGTACCTAATCTTTGAACCCTATGGTTCAACACTAAAATCCATCAGTTTCCAATCTTTGATCCATACCCTTATGACAACTCCAGCATCGAGACGCCGTAAAAAAGCCTGCGCGAGGACATCGAAAGACCAGAATGAAGATGTCCCGTTGCTGAGTAGGTCGTTTACTGCATGGATATATCGTGGCTCCCAAAAGTATACACAAAATGTCTCCAGGATGTTATCGACAGTTATAGATGATTTGTTTCCTTCGAATTTCCACGTTTCCAACGTTTCTATCTATTTGGTGGTTGCGGTGATAGTGCAGAATGTCCACCAAAATGTGTGCTCAGAACCTATTCGCATAAGCGTTCGCTTCAGAAACCATGTCATATTCACAATGAGCCGTGATAGGCAGATGGATTTTGGAACACGCTGTACAAGTTGAATTTCCTAGCTGTGTGCTCCTCATGTGTATATAAAACATATTATAAATATATGTATATATATATTATATGTATGCGTGTATGTGTGTGTGATATTGATATTGTATGTAATTTAGTTGCATGTATTTGCACATACCTACCATTACCTACCATCACCTACCATTACCTACCATTACCTACCATTACCTACCATTACCTACCATTACCTACCATTACCTACCATTACCTACCTACCTACCTGCATGCATGCATGCATACATGCATACATGCATACATGCATACATGCATACATGCATACATGCATACATGCATACAGACAGACATACAGACATACAGCCATACATGCATACATGCATACATGCATCTAGACATGCAGACATACAGAGAACTGGAATCATGGTTTCATGGACGGCAACGTCATGTTTCCAGATGGTGGTATGACATCATCAATAAATTGAATCCCTAGCATATGTTTCATCCTTGGTCAGTTCGGGCTGCAACATTCTGAGCACATAGCATATGTTTGCCCTGTGAGTTGTCCATTTGATGGGTCGCCCATTTTGGGCGCTCAGCCATCCAAAGCAAGAAGGGTTTCTGGGTGAAGAGCCCCTGGGTGAAAAGTTTATGGGTTAAAAGTACGTGCAAGAAGAGTTTCTGGGGAAGAGTCTCTGGGTGAAAAGTATATCGGTGAAAAGTGTGAGCAAGAAGAGTTTCTGAATAAGAGTCTCTGGGTGAAAGTCTGTGCAAGAAGAGTTTCTGGGTGAAGAGTCTCTGGGTGAAAAGTATGTGCAAGAAGAGTTTCTTGGTGAAGAGTTTCTGGGTGAAGAGTCTCTGGGTGAAAAGTATGTGCAAGAAGGGTTTCTGGGTGAAGAGTCTCTGGGTGAAAAGTATGTGGGGGAAAAGTCTGTGGGTGAAAAATCATTGGGGGAAAACAGGGGTAGATGGGATGCTGGCTTTCGTTCCCCCCTTCTCAGGTATGGTCATGATCTACACCTGGATGGGGGATGATCCGAAAAAGCGGTTTGACTGCCAAGAGAAATTGGAGAGCTTGGCCGAATGCATCAGCAGGGAGATCCGACACCTGGGTTCGAGCAATTTGACCGAGCACCTTGGCGACTTGTGGGTGAATACCCGAAGGGCATTATGCTCCTTCAAAGGAGTCAAGCTGGAAGCGTCTGCTGACATATCCATATCGGCAATTGGGGCCATTCCTCATCGGACAAGAGGCTTCAGGGCCTTAAGGGAGCTGGACCATTGCATTCTCCAAAATGAACTGGAAGCAGCTTATGAGACCGTGCAAGAGTTGATTCTGGCGTGTGACCCAGGAACTCAGTTGGAGAAAGCCATGCAGTTAATCTTTGATACCATGGAGGATATGATGATTATCATCAGCGCACCCATCGAGTTGTCATCTTAGACTTGCCGATCAATAGGACTCGGACATAAGTCGTGATCAGCAGCGAGGAAAAAGTTGAGGCAGCTCGGCTGACCAGCGAAACTGAAGTTGTTGGCAACAGAGCCACACTGCAAAATCAGATAAATTTAAGACAGATTGTTGCAGTCACAATGAGCATGAAATCAGATTCAAGTTCATTGTGCATGGCCGCAGCCCAATTTTTGGGAACAATTTTCCATCACCAAGTTTTAAAGAACAACCAGGAATAGACTTTACATATATCTTCAAACAAAGTGTTCATCAGAGAGCATTGCATGCATGCATGCAACACCACAACTAGGTCAGACAGGATGCCCTCCTGACATTCGACAGAGACAGGATAAACCATTCTCCACATACAACTTATTATCAACAGTGAGATCCAATTACGTCTGACAGCCATGTCCGTTCTTGACAGCAAAGCTGCTTTTGCAGACAGGCTAAAGCAATTGGGAATCGAGGATGCCCTCAAGGGCGAGCTGCAAGACAGAGGATTCGAAACCTTCGGATCCCTAGCATTCGCAGTGTGGCCAAAGACTGCCGGAAATGATCTCCACAGGGCGGAACAAACAGCACGTTGTTTGCAGATAGGGTACTTCCAGACATGTTTGCAGGTTGATGCGGTCACATTTGCCGCTACCTCATGTCATGTGGGGTCGCACTTGCCCCTACTGAAGGTGGAGGTAGGGGCGCAGCTGATCCTAGGGTAGGGGCGAATGTGACTCGACCTCGTTTTGCGTGGCAAGTGCAATAGTTTTAGAGGTGGGAAATGATCATTGTCCAGCTCTAGCAGTCAGCTTACGGACAAATTGCAACTGTCATGGAAAGTCAGTTCCGATAAAGTTGTTCAGGATGCTACATTCTCAGATCCATTTCCAGTAACTTCAAAGACGCTCTGGATGCTACGTTGCAACAACCATTTCAGCAACTTCCAAGACGCTCTGGAGGATGCTGCGCTGTAACATCCATTTCGAGTAACTTCCAAGACATTCCTGCATGCGACGTTGCGACAACCATTTCAAGCAACTTCCAAGACTTTGGATGCTATGTTGTAACATCCATGTGAAAGGTAAGTGACACCGGTTCCCCCTAACCAATGTCCCCAAGTCCCCCTTAACCGTCCCTCGTCCCCAAACTAAACCCTAAAAGTAGGTTGAATGACATATTCAGCAGACAGGTAACTGAGGTAGGGACGAGTGTGACCCTAGTTGGGGTAGGAGCGAAGTGACTTCCGTCCCTTGATTCGATCATGAGGTTCTTCACTTAAATAACCGTATATTATAAAAATGAGGGGGGCCATTTGATGGCATATTTGGTTGCAATGCTTGGACTTTGTTAAAAGCTTGGGGATCCTGTCAGATATGGGACCCTGGAAAGCGCAAGGTTTCAGTTAATCCCATCGCCTTGATACTAAACACCAACCAATGGTCCAAAACATGTGTAAAATTCTCACTAAACCATGGTTTCTTAAGGGTGTGAAGGTGAAGGGATTTCCTTGTTTTTGCGCTCCTTGAATCACGACCTCGCCTTAGCTTTGAGACCAGATGCAGCGTATGGCGACGTAGGTGTCCTTGCTGCTTCATAGCACGCTCACGGACAAGATGTGGGTGTTGGCGAGTATTGTTAGTTGCAACACTGGTTGGTGGTTTGGAACATGGCTTTTATTTTTCCATATATTGGGAATTTCATCATCCCAACTGACTCATATTTTTCAGAGGGGTAGGCATACCACCAACCAGAACAAGAAACACACACAGAGTTTTTTGATGGGATGGAGACACAGCGCAGCTGACCCCAATCTGGGCTCAAGATGATAGAGATGACCGGTATATGACCAATGGGATTAGCACGATGGAAGGGTTACATATGTTATATATATATATTAAAATATATTTTATATATATATATATACTGGCATTGATAATTATATTTTTGTCCTCCAAAGAAGCCTTTTGTAGCCAACATCTGTAGTTGATTGTTCAGGTAGGACCTGCCATACCAGTCATCCCATGCGCGAGTTCTTGGAGGGCCGTAGTAAAAAGTAGTGAATCCACGTCATGACTGTCCGCGGATACTGCCACAAGTGTGACCAGGACCAAGGGAAAGGAATCTAACAGGCTGAGAGCCTGTTCAATTTTCCCACCCATTAAATCATTAAGGCCTGCTTGGAAGGTATATGACCCCAGCCACTGAAATCATGGGGGGTGGAAAACCAAACATGTTTGTATAGTTGGAGAAACACATTCCAGGGGCTCGTTTTCGGCTTCTGTTTGTTCCACCTTTTAGATTTGGGTGGTAAACACTAGTAAACACCGTGGTTTCCTGTAGAGTATCCCTTGAAAAACATATCCATGTCCGACAGCTGTAGCCGTTGGGTCGTTGTCGCCTCGCAAGGAGGTGGACTGCGAACCCACAGACACCGGGGATTTCCACTGCTTGTCACCTGGCGCAAGGGGTCACCCTGCTTGGTGGCTCATCCCACTTAGTAAGTGGGTTATAACCCCAGTTATAAATGGGATAAGTAGGGTTAATCCACTTATAACTGGGGTTATAACCCACTTACTAAGTGGGATGAGCCACCAAGTGCAGACTGGCTGAAGATTGGGGTTAAAGCCAAGGGTTTCCCTAGCTGAAAATATCAATCTTGGGACAATGGGAGTGCGCATCAACAGTTTCATCAAGATGCGTTCATTTTGATGATGGTTCTCTTGCCAGCTGGTCATCGTTGCTGTCATCATTAGTAGCAATCGTCAGTATCATCATAATTCATCATAATATGTTATTGGCCCATTGACTTAAGTGTCGTTCTTTCAGCCAGAAAGGCAAGGTAAGGGCCTATAAGAGGCCCCCCTTCGGCGTCGCCATCGCCAAGGACGTGCAATAGCTCTGGCTACGTGGAAAGCGATGCAGGCAGAAGGGGCCCTCCCTTTGCCACAGATCACCGCATTGATGCCACAGTTGAATTTCAGATTATTTACTATTATTTACTTAGTTGTGTAGGGAATTTTCAGGAATGATCCACAAGAACTATCAATAATAATCCCAATCCCCCATTCCCATCCATTCCCTACTAAGCACCGGTTATCTAGATGGATTACCATGATCCCACTGAGACGTCAGCGCCAGGCGCTTCACCTCATCCTGCAGCCCACCCCGCGGCCTCCAACGGGCACGCCCGGGGCGCGGGCGATGCCGGCCTCCCTCCCATGCTGCGGAATGGCGTGCCTGGGCGGTGTAGATATGGAAAACCTATGTGGAAATGAATGGTGGGGGTCCATATTTATGTCAGCATTGGTATTGATTGGTATTTATGGTGGGGGTCAGCATTGGATGGTATATGTCAGCATTTATGTTGAAATTTATGGTGGGGGTCCATATTTATGTTAGTTAATTTCTGGGTATTTTCAACATCTACAGGTCAGCATTGGATGAGTACTTTTGATATTGACCCTTTGCTAATGGGATCATAGGGTTACAGCTGGGGTTTTCCGGTTGATTTACGTGACCAGAACTGTAGGGTTGGCTGGTTGCAATCCAAGCGCTATGTCCTGTTGATTGGTCAGCCATGCTATTGGCAAGCTTTAGGATGTCCCTGAGGATCTTGGAATTTCAGCCCGGCCCATCTGCCCAAGCAACTGACATACATGTAACCTTTGGCAATCACACATGACAATGTAAACGCCCGATTTGGTTTGGGAAATCCATCCATAGATTCATCCAGAAATGGACACACATTGGTTATCATTGATTCATAAAACATCATAAAACAGATGATACTTTGATAAATAATCCCCGCACTTTTTTCTGGGGTTTCACTTGGAACATCCATTCATAACGATCGTGGTTCGCCAACGATCAGCTTTCAGGAGGCCATGGCCTCAGCCTTCAGACACTTTCTTCAAGGTGTGGCAGGCGATGCGAGCTTCGCCACAACGGTGAATCTGGGGAGACTTGAACGATGGACATATCAAAAAGGGGATAGAACTTGTCCATACGAAGTTGTAATGTTGTAAACCCAATATGTATATAGCTATATATATATATATATACATGCACATTATACATACATGTAGTGTATATATACATATGTAATATATACTATATATATATATACATACATATTCAGTATACATTTATTTAGAGAGGTATATGATATATGTGTGTAGCAATAATCGCACTAGTCGGAGCAATGCTTTAGCAATCATAATATTACTGTAATTAACTACCATCTCTGGACGGTTTTTGTTTAGGCGTTTCATACCACCTTATGGCAGGTTTTTGTTGATAGTTGTCATGATTGGGTTGACCTTGTTTATTGTCTTTTTTTCCAAGAAATCATCCAATGAATATTGGCAGGATTCTCCCGTCAAGCCATTACTGGGATGTACCTTACAGATTTACAGTGCAAATTAACACTGGTTGGTGGTGTGGAACATGGCCTTTATTTTTCCATATATTGGGAATAATAATCCCAACTGACTAATATTTTTCAGAGGCTGAAACCACCAACCAGAACAACTCTAAATGGAACACCCACCACTTGACATGATTTGATCCATGTCCCCGTGACACGCTTGAGAATTTGTTTTTCAGCAGAGCCTTCTAGCCCGTTCGGTTTATCCAGGTACGTAAAGGGGCGCAAATTTGTGCAGAGAACCAGCTGTTCAGCCACATGTTCTTGCAACATTCGCTTGACTTGTTGTTGGCCCATCTGTCTGATTTGAAATAACCATATTCCATCCAGTGTGCCACAGTTGTTATGCTGTTTTTTGGTAACCATGTGTACTAAAACACCCTGAAACTCCAAAAAATGGAAGTCGTCACATAGACTCTACATCTCGTGTTCAGGCGGTTTGCAAGAACCCGGGCCTGGACTCGATGGCATACAGAGGTGCACATCCTTCCCATCATTTCCCATCCACCAAGCAGTTCGTACATGGCAAACTGCTGGGCACAAGCTGGGTACTGGAGGTTTTGGAATTGCATACGCATGTGTACACAGTCATACCGTTACATGTTTGTATGTATGTTTAAAGACTTGAGACTTCAGACGACACGCACACCAAAAAATACAAAATATTATATATATATATTGTACATCTCATCCATGTGTTGCACATGGCCAGATTTTAATGCTGTTTGTCCTGCAGGACTGTTGTGAGCGCCGTGGTCTGGATCCCGGTGAATCTGACTTTGTCCAGGGGTTTTCCAGTGTCCTTTTGTTCTAGATTCTAGATGGAAGCTTCCCCCAAATCATCCATTTTAGTAGGATTTTCTATTACAAACCATCCATTTTGGGGTACATACAGTACCCCCATTCCAGGAACCCCCCAGGTAATCATTGATGCACTGCTAAGAACAATGGCGTGCAGCGGGTCATTCACAATACACAGGCCTGGAGTGCGCTGAGAAAACTTGGGCGAATGGCTTCTACCATGATAACGCAGTAAAAACCCAATGACAAATCAAACTCCCGTGTTGCTGGATGGATTGAATCCCTCCGATCTTCCTGCTTGGATGTTTTATGTTTTGGGTTTGCTGCTACTATTTTTTCTTGGTTCAATATGCTATGAATGTTGTGACCAATTGGGGTGCATATGGCCGATAACAGGGAAGGACTATATGATGTTCAGGTGGAGTCCCATTTAAGCACCGCGAGTCCCATTTATAGCAACAATATCAACAGTGCAGTCTGGACGCGGGCTCCCCACTCAAAACCATCATGGACTCCCCCAACATTGGGGTCCCCAGCCATTTTCGATTGCAGTTGCAGCTGTGAAGTTAGGTGTTTCCCGCGGGCTCCAAAGTGCAATCTCTGGGTCCCTCACCAAACGCTGACAGCACTGACAGGGGCTCAGTGAAGAGGATCGAATGTGGATCCAACAGCAGGGAAACCAGATGACGATCATTGCATCAGGCGCGTTCATCGCAGCACATGGTATCACCTGGGAACGGGTGCCGCTGCATTTCTGATGGGCCGCGGGTTACGCATGTTCCGCCATGGTATGCTGGGGACCTAGGAGTGAATGGGGATAATGGGGATGAAATCACCATAGCCACATCTATATGGCCTCTGGAAGATTCTCTTTAAAGAGCTGTTCCGCATATTTCTGCTGGGCACTGGGGGTAAGTCAAGTTTTCATGTGGAAAGCGAGGCAATGTGCTGGTTGATGATTCCAGAAAATGTCCCTGTGGCCTGTGGCACAGGGCAGGCAGCAGTTTGCCGTAAACCCCCGTTGGTCCATATATTATATTTTCCGATCAAGGTTCAGCGTTTAACTCACCCATTCTGGAAGCTGCAAGGCGGCATCAACATTTTGAGCAGCTTGGCCGGTGGAGACGGTACCCCAAGTATACGCACGTGGCATTTACTGTACGTGTGGGTATGGTTTCCAGTCGCTGGGTGCCACCAAAATTGGGTTTGGGTTCTGTCCTAAAATCGGACCAATCTGTAGCCGTGAATTTGCACCACAAGTGGATTGCTCAAATAACCATCGAAACACTTCAAGTCTTGGTGCCGACCTGGACCGCTCAGCCTAGCGCTCCAATATGCTCAAATGGCTCCACCAATGTTTTCTGTTTCAAGTGCTTGAGTAATGTGGGTAAAACAATAATAAACCATCCCCCAAATCACCATAAGTAGGTGGTATAAACATGTATAGACCATTCCCAGTCATGGGTGGTTTAATTATGGCATTGCTTTCCCACATTCTACTGAATATTTTCCAACATGACACCATTTCCAAAGGCCCAGCCGTGGAGATGTTTTTCGGCTGACGACCAGTCCGACCAAGGGCATGCAGGGCCTCTGGCAGTCTTTTTGGAACAACACCTTGGTCGAAATTGGCAACAGCAGCAATCTGGTCTGGATGAAGGTGTGGTTGTGAAACAGCAAAGGGGTTTAGCTGCTAGGAAAAACATGGGCAATGTTGAATTTGTTGCTTTTTTTTCGTTGCATTTGAGGTTGACTGTTGCTTTTGAGTTTCGGGACTTTCCTAGCATGGTCATGAAGCATTTCCATGTATTGCATTGCTTTTGCCTGCGCAATTTGACGTGTGCTTTTCACGTCACGCACTGCCTGAAAACTGCGCAAATCGAAATCATGCGCATGCTTGACGCCTCAACGTGTTTGGAGATCTGGATCTTTGCAGCCTGTACCGGGGAGAAACATGCTCAAAACAACTCAGAACAAATTTTGCATGTCTATCTGCACAGTTTTTAGACATGTTTGGATGTGACCCATCCCCCACTGATCCCAAAATTCAGTTGCCCCTCACTGCTGCGCAGGGACAATCTCCAGGTGGTTAGATGAGCGGCAGATTCCCATAGCACCATGGCAGACTGAATCGGTGGTTCGCCTATTTGGAGGTTTCCTAAAATAGGTGGTACCCCGAAATGTATTGGTTATATTTGGTTATAAGTTTTAAGTTATAGTGGAAAATCCTATTCAAACAGATGATTTGGGAGTACTGGGTACCCCCATTTTAGGAAACCTCCATTTGATCTGTTCGTAATCTTACTACAAGGCTCGCTGGATAAACACCATTGGATACCGCTGTACATGACTTCAAAGCATGCTTGCGAATAATCCAATAGTAGTTGATGTGGAATAGTTGGAACATCTTTTTCCGTACTTCGAAAATCGTGGAATGCTGCTCAACCACCAAAAATATGCTGGGATTGCTGAAGTGTGTGTCGTGATTTATACCCGCACTTGCCCTGGGTACCGCTGGGTACTGACCAGACATTGGGAAGGGCTCCTGATAAATCATGCAGAATCCGCGCTCAGTGGTGATGCGTCCCTCAGCAAATGGTCTCAGGGACCATTGCCAGGGATAATTTCGCAACATTTGCTGCTGAAAACATGCGAAGAAAAGAACAACGCATAGGTTTCCGATAGATTTTCCACATTTTCCCCTGCAAAATCACGACCCAAAAACCATCTCTGGAGAATTCTCAGGCTCTCCAGATCCCCCTTTATGGCTGGCTCCACCCGCCACATTCCAGTCTTAACCCCGGTCGTAAGGACAGCGTTTTGCCCAACAGTGGATGCCCATTGGGCCTGAAGCCCAATGAGACCTGGAGCTGCAGCATTTGCCTTACAGGGTGCGGTGGCGCTGGGGGGGGGCATGGGGATGCCATGTCGATGCCATGGTCACGGTAGCCAGGTGTACAGAGGATGCCCCTGGGAATGGAGGCCGGCCCGTTGCGAAAGCTGCCAACCATGGACGGCAGTCTTCAAACAGAGAGAAATTATGATGTTCTTACTGTTTGGGGTGCTTTGCTGCCTGTGACTCTTTTTGTATCACTTTATCACTTTAGGAATCTTTGGGATATGTTCAGAATCTGATGAATGTAGCAATATATAATCACGGCCGAAAAGAGAAACAAGTAACAAGTACGAATTCCCCACCAGGCCAGATGGCCATGGGATCGGACAAACTGGCCTATCACTGTCACAAAGATCGTTGCTGCCGCCGCCGCCACCACCACCACCACCACCATCATCATCATCATCATCATCATCACTATCATCAATCAATAACCAATCACCAATCACCCATCATCAATACTCATCATCATCGTCATCATCATCATCATCATCATAATCATCACCATCATCACCATCATTAAGCACCTCATAATTATACGGTATCACCACATCATCACATCACGACGGTCGCCGTATCATCTGCAGGGAGCGAATCTGCGCAGACAGATCAAGAGCTGCTTGCCTAAACAGTGCTGATGTTTGGGCTGTGACCGTTGGACCAATTGGGCATGTATCATAGCAACCTCCAAAAGGATCAGCTAAGAAAAGGTATGAACAAAGTTGCATTCACCCACTCCTTCAAAGTAGGATTTTACTCGTTTTCCGCCTTTTAAAGGGGGGTACCTATCCTAGTTATTTTTTGGCCATGGGTCATTGGTGGAAGTGGTGAAGAAGGCTTCGTCCCACAGAGGCACTAATCACCGCTAATCCACTGCCCCTAAGATTGAAACCACTCCCCCCCAGAAATGAAGGCTTAGCAAGGGATTTCCGCCTACTTGGGACATCTTGGGACCATTTGGAGCGTGCTTTTTTACTCATATTCTCTGGGGATGGGATTGCATTTTGACCCGGGAAAAAATGATCCCAACTTTCAACCACCCCCCGGGGTTCGGTGTGCCGATTCGCCCCAGAAATGAACGTGGCTGTTGGTGGTTAAGAATCACCCCATAAATTGCCATAAACCATACGTATCATTGATAGGGTCACCTGGGGCCAAATTAGTATGGGTCAGAATGAAAGTTAGGTATTTCAATATAATTATAAGATGGTAAATGTATGTAAATGTTATGTAGCAATATGCCGAAATCTGTGGTTCCATGGGGCTTAATTTTTGACTCAATGAATATCATCCCCCGTTCCTTTATCAATTTTCCCAGGCGCTCTTTGTGGGCACGGCTCAGGATTTGTTTGTTGTGCGACAGCGACGGCCATACGTGGCACGTCTTCCACAAGAGTTGCGCCAAAGAATGGTGGCCTGGGCAAAGAATTCATGGCAGGATATGGCAGGATGGAGAGGATGGAAAGCCAATGGCCTGGTCGAAAAAAAAGAGCACAAACAACCAAGCAAAAACCTGAAAAATGTCATTGTTGGGGAAATTTATCGGAGAATCATGTGTTCATCATGTTCATCATGTTCCCATTTCAGGCATGCAAATGGCCAGATCATTTTGGGACCCCGTGTGCCACCAGAGAGTTACAGTATCAACTGAGGTTGCAGCGAAGCGCTACTTGCCCCTTGTGCCGCCGGAATTTGCACATCACGTAGCTGGGCTAGAGCTTCAATTTGGCTCACCCAGCGAATCCCCCCAATCTGATAATCTGGACCAGTCAAGCCTGACCACCCCCAGATGACTGACGTGGAAACCCGTAAGTTGCTCATTTTAAGCATCCGAATCCTCCAATTCAATTTTGATGGGAGTTTCATGGTTCCATGTCAGTTTTCCGGGGTGTAGTATGGTGTAGTTGTTTTTTGATGTCAAGTTTCAACAGATCTCTGTATCGTCGCCTTTTTTCACGTTGTAAGATCAATCGCATCAGCATCAAATATCGACGTTGGATCCAAGCTCGAGATCTGACAGCTGAGTCAAGCCAGATGACAGCAGCCTGACTGGAGAGCCTTGAAGAAAACCACTGAGTTGCTGGCGACTCCTGGGTTGGTGTCACTGCCTCCAAGGTGTTTCAATGTTCCTTTTGTTTTCTTCTTTGGTGGTTCCTTCTACTTTCTTCTTTCGAGTTTGGTTGCATTATAGTGGCTTGCTTTCCTGTACCATGTAATTTCCTTATTTTCCTTTTTCCTTTGGTTTCTTTGTCTGTTGTACCCTGCAGTTCTATGTTTTTTGTTTTTTTTGAGGGGGTTTCTCCTTTTATATATTGTGCTTTCTCGCTTTCCTTCTCAGTTAACTTGCATTATTTTGTTCCTCTGTTTTTGTTTGTTTCCTTGTCACTTTCTATTCCTTCGCTTCCAAGCTTTCCTTAATCCTTTTTTCCTCCACTGATTCCTTTCTTTCAACATAGATTTGCCAGCGAAAAGGCAAGATATCCAAGGATGGCCATGCTTCACTATGCTTCATACTCTTGGCGAGTACTGACATGTATAGCTCTCTTCATGGCCGGTGTGAGTTCACCTAACGTTGCGGTGCTGTGCCGAGGCTCAAACTTAAGCTTCATCTAGGCAAAACTTGACAACGTCGAAGAAAAAGTTGGGCGGATGAATTTCGGCATGTAGTCTTCATATTCAGTCAGAGTGTGCTGTAAAGGTTCATCATACTCAGCAGAATGCTGCAAGCACTTCACGCCACAAAGTTCAGCAGATGTGACAAGCTGAGAACATCATAAAGCATGTACTGAAAGAATGTAGCCGTTGCCATGCCACCAGCAGGTTTGTTGAAGCAACTTCCTTTGACCGAACACATCCACGAATTTCACTTTGCTCAACAACTTGCTGCTTGCGAGAGCTAAGCGGTACACTAACGACAGATGCAAGGGATGGAGCTTGAGATCCCCCCATTGACGATTTTCCCATTTAAAAATTGTTTAAAACCTACTAAAATCCGTTGAACACAATCAAGTCAAGCAAACTCCATTAGTTTAATAATTTACAACTATCAAAACCTATTCAAAACCTGTCAAAACCAATATCAAAACCTATTCAAAACCTGTCAAAACCAATAAAAAATCCATCTCAAAACCTAAAGGAACCTCTCAAAATGCGAAATTAAAACAGAGGATTTCCAGCAAGACAGCGCGCAGCCCCTTTTTTCGCATCTTGGCTCCGGAATGGCCTCGAAAGGAGGCTGGTGCTCACCATCGAGTAGCTGTGGTAAGCAATTGTTCATAACGGGAAGTTAGTATGGGGTTTTCATTGGATTTAATTGTTGTTAATGGTGATTTAGGGGTTGATAGTGGGAATTACTATGATGTCATGGAATTTAATGGTTCTTGTAATGATTAATTGTGGGCGAAACGGTGCTATTCACATCTATTTGCTTTGGTTGATAATGGTGATTCATTATTCATTGTCAACAATGGTAGTTAGTGGATATTAACATTGGTAGATCATCGAATACCCTCCGGTAATCAAACATGTCTGGAAAACTCTGGGGATAGCAGTCATCATTGGGGGTCATCATTGTGGAAGGTGGGATACTGACTAAACCCTGCGAGCTCAGAGGAATTATGCTTTGGATTAGGGTAACTCTCCCCAGCCGAACTTTTCAGGTGAATTATTGAATAATTGATAGATATTTTTTCGGGGTAAATTATAACGACCTCACTGGAAATCATGGCTAATAAGGGAAATCATCCCCAAATGGCCTTAATTCAGGTCCAAACCTTCAAGCGGTTACCCTGACTGTGCGTAACAGCGAATTGGCCATGGAACATGATACTCATCATCAAGTACCTATTCCAATAGTAGACATCATCAGATCCTATGACCTCACGAACAAACCTGTAATGGGGGAGAAGTTCAACCTGTTTGTCTATGACATCGTATGTGATTTTTCAGATGATCGATCATTGTTGCATGGACGAGTGAACAGGAAACCACACTTTTCCCTGGATTTTGTGATGGGCAATCAGACGGCAATGACAAGCCCTTTTCCAGATGAGATGGTGACGATTGAAATGGAGGAACATGTCGCACTGAAAGCAGCCAAAGTCATGTCGATTTATGTGCACAATGCAGAAGTCATGACCATGGACCCGTTGGCCCTTAAGATGTGCAATGACAGTCTTCTCATCCCGCAGTTCAGTGAAGATCCTCTCATCTTTCATCCAAAACCGATTGTGCTGGAACAATTTGCAGGGGGCTTTGGGGGGTGGAGCTTTGCACAAGAAGTTTTGAAGCCTTTCGTCCAAACAGAGCCAAGAAGAGTAGCAATTGAGACCAACCTGAAATACTCAGTTCAATTTGCATTGAATCACCATCACACCATCGTTGGTGATGTTGAGTCCCTGCCTCCGAACTTTTTGCATTGCCATTCCAAAGATGTTTTATTCATCACCGATGTAGAAAGCCACCAATGGCAACAACAGATCCAATGGTCCAGCCAAGCAATTTGGACACTGAGTTCACCATGTCAATCATGGTCATCAGCAGGATACCAGACAGGACTGAATTCTCAAAATGGCAGGATTCTGATTCACTCCATTTCCCAAGCACGTATTTTCAAGCCGACCTTTCTGGGAATTGAACAAGTGTCAGGTTTTGCAAAACATCCTCATTTTGGTTTGGTGAAACGTATTTTGAGATGGGCCAACTATGTACTTGTGTTTGAACGAGTGCTCGAACTGTCTGATGTCACTGCAGTACGCCGTCAAAGATGGCTTGCACTTTATGTCCATGCTGATGCACAAACAACCGTTCAGCAGATGCAGCCGTGGCCGAAGATCCCAATGTCGCCCAAGGATTGTGATGCATTGCATGGACTTGATGACCTAGATGTAAAAGACTTTCAGCCGTCAATCCAAGTTGCCACGAAGTATTTTGCAAATGATTTCCTGCCACCAAGCCGAAAGCATAGCACCAAGGCAGAGGTCATAGCTTTTCGCATTCCCGGCCTGTCCGAAGCTCTTCCCACATTCATGAAGCAATACGGAAATGCACACAACTTGGATGACAATTTGCTCAGAACCAAAGGGTTGTTTGGAGCTTTTATCAAGCATGGGGACACGTTTCGTTTTTTCACTCCATATGAAATCCTGAAACTCCACTGCCAGTCAGTTCCAGTGACCTTGTTGAAACCAGCCAAGTTGGCATGGGAAACCCTGGGAAATGCGATCATGGTTCCACATGCGATGTACTTGCTGTTTCATGCTTTTCACATGCTCAATTGGATTCCGCAAGAGATGACTTTCAAGAGATGCTTGGAACAGATGATTGCTGAAAGATTCACCACCTCAAATTCAGAAGTTCTAGCGGATGATTTTGCATGGTATGTGGGCACAGATCATGACAATCTTCAGCAACAATTTTCCTTGTTTCGGTTGATCAACGAACTCCAATGGACGAAGGGAGAATCACACCCTGTCTGGCCGACAGGAAAGTTTTTTGACTTTCAACATGGGCTGTGTGAATTTCTCAGAGAAGAACCCATGAACATGAGCACCATTCCACCCACGATGCCTTTCCAAGTTTGTTGTTTGGTTGCATTGGCAGTTCCACCGGGAGAATATGGAGTTCTCAAGATTGATGCAAGTGTAACTTGGCACACTCTGCTCAAGCTGTGGGATAACAGATTCATGCCAATGAACGTGTCACTCCGAACAGACCAGATCACCCAGCCAATCATGACCACAATCGATTTTGACAAGATCTTACTTGCGCCGATCCAGTTTCTTGACTGCCATCCAGTTGTTCCAACTGAGGAGCCTATCCCACGAAAGGTACCGTTTTTGCTCCGGCAAGACTGTGATTTGACGCTGTATGAAATTGAAGAAAGCACCACTTGGAAGCAAGTCCGAGCCCAATGCAAGCTGCCAGATCAAACCATGTATGACTCGTTTGGCCAGCTCAGTAATGAACAAACCATCAAGCATCCGACCCTGATAGACTCCAACGAGCATCCGATCACAGTGCAGTCCACCTTCATTGGACTCTTGCACCACCTGACCCAAGCCAAATTCGAAGTTGTGCAGCCGCCCAATACAGATATTTTGCTGCTGTATGTCACAGGTACTGTTCAGGCGATGGATGCTTTTGCAACCATCTGGCTTTCGGAAGATCAGGTCAACTGGTGCGCCAAGAACGGTAGACAAATCAATGTACAGTTGCTGGAAACAGGAGCCATGCAAGTGTTGTATCGCCCGAAACTTCCAACCACAGCCACACCAACATCCCTTTTCCGAAACATGTTGTTCATTCACATGATGAAGACAGCCATGTCTGTGTTGCAACAAAAAGAAGGCATTGATTGGATCCTGAAGTATGAACAGAGAGTCCTTTTCAGAGGAAAATTTGCACCTGACTTATCCATGGGAGTCATCATTCCGATGTTTGAACATTTCTTCCAACTTCGACCTACCAAAGGCACTCCAGCATTCATCACGATGGCCAAAAGATGCGGTGACCTGTGTACACTTTTTGACTTGCAACAGAGATCCAAAAACCAAAATTTTGTGGTCACCATGATGGGTAATCCAATGATTGGGGGAACAGGTGCCAAGATGCCAACCACCAAACAGGATCATCACAAAGCAATTGAAGTCGGCATCGCGAACATGTTCTTGGAATATGGTATCAATATTACTGCGGTTCCCGATTAT